AACCATGAGGGACCCACCATTTCCACCCAATATTCAAAAATGCGTATCATTGTATCCTCTTCACACCCCATCAAATCTGCGGAGGACCCACCCCTCCTCCTCTCACCAGCCCGCTGATCGCGCCCTCCCTTCCCTTCCCCTACGCATTCCCTTTTAGTTTACCCCCCCGCCCTCTGTTTTATACTTTTATTTCACCTTCCTCCTGCTCCTCTTGCCTCCTCCCTCCTCACTTTCCATACATAAGCCTATCTTCCCACTTTTGTCCCTTCCCTTTTCCCTATTCCCAAAAGCTCCAGGGGATCGTTTTGTCCTTCACGTACAATGCTACATACCCTAGATTTGGTTGACTTATTTGTCCCTTAACTAAATAAGTATTTCACCAACGCTCAAAAAACGAAGAGAAAATGGATTTTCATGACTGGCTGGCTCATCAGTTATTAGAGCGTACAAAGTAGTAGTACAAGCAGTCTCCGGTCTCCCACAAATCAAGTGTTAACAGTCCCTCTTTTTTTTTTTTGACCAGCCAAGTGTTAACAGATTACAACTAGGACCGCATTGAATAATGATAAATCAAGTTTCGGAAAATTTCAGATGTTGCCACTCTCCCTCAGGCCTCCATAAGTACCCCCGCCCGCGCCCCCTCCCCCTCCTCATCTTCTCCCCTTTGCCCTCTTCTCTAGCGTTAGATACTCATACACTATCACCATGGCTCTCCCCATTCTGCTCTGCATTGCTTCCCTCCTCTCATTCCTCTGCCAAATCGAAGCCAGAATCCCCGGCGTTTTCACTGGAGGTGCCTGGCAATCTGCTCATGCTACTTTCTATGGAGGATCCGATGCTTCCGGCACCATGGGTTTGTACTCCCCAACTCCATTCCACATAATGTGACTTCTAATTACGTTGCTATCATCCAGATAACCCCCATTCCCCTGCATCTACTCTCTTCAAAACAGAGGGACGCTCTGTTCCGTTCCTTCACTTTTTCTGGTCAGATAGCGAGATGTGAGCTTAGATGGAACTCTTTCTTAGTTGTTTTGGGACTACTGACAGTATATTACTTACTATCATCACAATGTACCTCACAAACTGTTTTACCCCCTGCAATTTCTCTGCCAATAGCAGAGCAGCACTGTGTTTCCTGTTTCCGGTAAGGTGGCCGGTGAGCAACCTAACGTGAGTTATTTTTTGCTGAACAGGTGGAGCTTGTGGGTATGGTAATCTGTACAGCCAAGGGTACGGAGTGAACACGGCGGCATTGAGCACCGCACTGTTCAACAGCGGCTTCAGCTGCGGTGCGTGCTTTGAGATTAAGTGTGCAAACGACAGAGAGTGGTGCCACTCGGGCAGCCCTTCCATCTTCATCACGGCCACTAACTTCTGCCCACCAAACTACGCCCTTCCAAACGACAATGGCGGCTGGTGCAACCCTCCCCGCCCCCACTTCGATCTCGCCATGCCTATGTTCCTCAAGATCGCCGAGTACCGCGCCGGCATTGTCCCCGTCGCCTACCGCCGGTAACTCCACTTTCCACTTCTCACTTTTACCTCTAAAGTTTCAACATTTAACACAAGTGTTTCCGACAGTCAATAACTCGTGCGTGGATGTATGCTTGCAGGGTGCCATGCAGGAAGCCAGGAGGGATAAGGTTCACGATCAATGGGTTCAGATACTTCAATTTGGTGTTGATCAGCAACGTTGCGGGTGCAGGGGATATAGTGAGGGTGTACGTGAAGGGGACGAGGACAGCTTGGATGCCGATGAGCAGAAACTGGGGGCAGAATTGGCAGTCAAACGCGGTGTTGGTGGGTCAAGCGCTGTCGTTTAGAGTGACCGGCAGTGACCGGCGCACCTCCACCTCATGGAACATCGCTCCTCCTCACTGGCAATTTGGTCAAACTTTCACCGGAAAGAATTTTCGGGTCTGATGAAAAAACCCATTAAAATATTATTTTAAAGAAAAGCCCAAATTTCTATGTGTTACTATTTCTCCAGTTTGACTGCCAAGTTTCATGGGGAATGGTTTTTTTTTTGACTGGCTGTTTTGGAAGACTGTGGAGGAATTTAAAAAAGAAAAAAAAAGAAAAAGGAGTGAGAAAGTGATTCACGACTTGTTGACTTTTATTTTATGGTGGGTAGGTGCGTGGGGCTCTACTTTGTACGGTGAGAGTAACTATACATGAAAGGGGGAAAATGTAGGGAATGCTGAAGCGGCTAATCAAGCAAGGTGGTAGCCCGCAGCTAATTAAGAAGATTATATATGTAGCTTTATATATATGTGGAATGTAAGCATGTGTACTGTGGTTAGTTAACTTACAGTTCAATGGGAATGGTCAATTATAAGGTTTGTTTGATTCACTGTCACCCATTTGTTCCTTCCTCTGATAATGTTGATTTGATGATTTCCCTCGCATATGCGTCGCTAGACGGATAGGCTTGTCCTTTGCCATCAAGATCCCAACCACTCCACCATAAAAACAGATGGAATATTTAAAACTGAACCCAGTGAGGATTAAATGCAAAGATCGTTAAAATATTCATCCCATCTCCATCGAATTGGTTGCATGATTGAAAGGGAACCTGGAGACCAAAAGGCCTCGACGCATTAATAACAGAGTGGGTAAAAGCAGGACACGTTGTGCATGTTGGGGAGAAAATCCCAGGATTATTACTGAAAAGTCGACATGACTTTTCAAAAACTGTGAAAGCTGTGAGCATTGATTTGTTGTGTTCCCATCATTCGCATTATTGGGAAGTAGAAAGTAAACAGCTATTATCAATTATCATCGAGAGAGGCCAACGAGAACCAGTGACAAAGGAATCAGGAAACAGTGAGGAAATGGAAGAAAGCAGAGGAGAGGGATATGATTGTAGCAGAAGATGTAGGAGACAAAAGCATATAAGATGATGGTGCTCCCGTGAGTGCAAATAAAAGTCACATCAGAGAAGCACATGAAACTGTGAGGAAGGAGAATGCTGATGTTGCTAATGCATTCCAACCAGCAAAGAAGCAAGTTAGGGGTGTGAAATGTGAATGCTGTTGCATGCTACCACCAGCCTTTGCTTCAAAGCATGGATATGGGGCATCCAACTTAGGATACCTACCACACCTCCCTCTAAAGTTTAAAGTAAAGTGAAAGCGAAGCATGCTTTTGGATAACTTCCCTCTTTTCTTCATTTCATGGCCATTCTCACTTTCCACTTCACTCCTTCTCTGTCCAAGTCTTTCTCCTCCTGGGATTTTGATTTCATGAGCATTTTCTGTGTTGTAACCTTGTTAATTCTTCTTTTTTTCCCCCATGTATTTTGTTTTCTTCGACGATCCATCTATTAGCGGGTCTAGTCTCAATTTGAGTTCATTTAGATCCAATTGAGAAGCTCAGCGTGGTTTTCTTTTCTCTTTTGGACATCCGTAATATTTGAACTCGAGATTTTACTAGCAACTATCACTGAAGTACTCCGCAGTTTTCTTCGAAATGACCGAGGGAGAAACAAGTAATAGAGGTCATTTTATGAAATGAAACCCATGCATTTTGCAAGACATGGCCACTGCAAAAAACCATTCAAATGAATTGTACCCTTTATCGCTTGACTGTAGAATAATCATTCATATAGTAACGAAATCATTCATAGTAACGATAAACTGTCGACACGACCTTTTTGTCGTGAGGTTTAATCACATGTTGTGAACAGAGTGAAGTTAACCAATAATTATCTTGTTTGAATGGTGAATTGGCCCTTGCCGAATGGGAATGAAAATCTCAAAATTCTAACTTCATCTGTAGGGTCTGGTTAGGATTATTTAGCACATCTCTTCCCTATTTAAAACCTGAAGGGTTCTTCTTTTTAAGTAACCCGTAAAGGGTCTAATAATCTAATTATTTTTTGTCCAGTATAGCTCAAATTCTCAAAGTAACTCCAAACACAGCCTAGACTTCTTGTGCTACCAGTTTACCAAACTTAATTTCATGAAAGGCATTTGCAAGATGAATGTTTTGCGTTAATATTCCATTTTATGAAGGTTAGTCTCAAGTCATCCAGACAAACATGTAAAAACTGAGTTTGCATAGAGTTAGTTTAGCGCTCCAAACAAACGCAACACTCTCAAGGGTGTTTTCTTTTTGTACTGATTTCATTGTCATCCTCCAAGAGGCTTTAATTCAACCGAAATGTCTGTGTGGGAGAGCTGGTTGGTGGTAGCTAGATATTCAGGACTCTAAGAAAATATACTCCTCTTGTCCTATTTATAAAACAGAGAGAAGACATTTTTTTATTGAGAGAAATTTTTTGTATAAATATACAATTTTATCCTTATTTATTATCGTATTGATTTTGTTTATATGAGGTACTCCTCTGGTTTTATTCATAGGGCAGAGAGACGATTTTTTTATCCTATTTATAAGGTACTAAGAAAATTTTTTTATATGGATGTATAATTTTACCTTTCATTTATTATTGTGTTGATTTTGCTTATATGAAGTATAATATGTATTAAATAAGGATAAAATTAAAAAGTTATTAAATTTTAGATGAGAATTAATAAAGTTTAAAGTTTTTTTTTTTGTCTACATGAAACATGTTAGAAGTAACTTATAAATAAAACCAGAAGAGCATAATGTATATTAAATAAGGATAAAGTTAAAAAATTTTAAATTTTAAATAAGAATTAACGAAGTTAAAATTTTTTTTTTATCTGTATAAAACTTGTTAAAAATGACTTATAAATTAAAATATAGAAAAGGCTGACAAGTTGAAAGATTTCAAGTTCGGAATCAGCTTATTAGCTTATCATGTAAAGAACAGGTTTTCCCATTTATCAAAAAACAAAAAGAAAAAAGAAAAAGGATAATAGATTTGCCCTTCGAAATTTTAACTTGATCAAGGGGCGTGTTCGAAACTGGCACTCCTCAAGCTCCTGTGATAAGATAGATATTTATTATGCACAAAGGTTCGGTTTATTATTTGGGTCATAATGATCTGAAATCATTTTAAGTTCTGAAGACCTTGTTGTCCTGAAAATGGTGAAGCCCTTACCTCAAACTAGTCATTTGCTGGAAGCATCCCAATTAAATGAAACAAAATGATAGGCTAGTTTAAAACCCATACATGACAATGAAATCTGGTGGATACTGAAACTGATATCCAAGTTTGGCATGAGATAATTACTGTTCAGCATGTCTTTCTTTGCGCACTCCAAGCATAGGCCTCATAAAATTACGAACCAACTCTCGTTCTGTCGAATATGAATTACAGATCTGCAAATCCATTCTAATTCCAAAGTTTCAAATAAAGAGTAGAGCCCTCTTCCGCTTAAGATTTTGTTTCTTATTCTTCCATTGAGTAAGTAAATATTTAATGCCCTCCCTCAACGAGGCCTTCCTCCCTTCCTTCGAATTCCAGAGCTCGCGTATTGCGTACCTACCACTAGGATTGTACTCGTTCAACTCCATCAGAGCATTAGTCACCGCTTCTAATGTCTCATCTCCAAGCTCATTCTTTAAAATTTTCAGTTTATCATCTTCGTCATCGATAACTTCCTGCATAATACAATCAATATGAAATAAATAATGTTACATACAAATAAACTTCAGAACGACGCGTCAGCAACCAGTAGCTTGCACCCGCACATATTAAAAAATACATACCGTCTTGCATTGTAAGTTTTTATACATTAAATATTATACCAATAAAATACAAAGCTTACTTTTTTGTCTGCAATATCACCCCGAATGCTCTTGAAAGCAATTATAATTATCCAAGGATAGGCATTTATTTAATGGAATATCTGGAAGAGATTCCTCAGCCATGTTGCAAATGATATGAAAGGTAAAAGCAAAACAAGCGCAAAATTGCCGGAATGCGTCTCTCGTTCTCTGAGCTCACAAGTCTGACATCTTCCAACTTTAGAAGAGCACAAAGAAGATTAAAAGCATGAATCAGAGTTATGGTGGTCATATCCGTTATGATGAGGACCTCCTGTGTATCGCTAGACTGTTATGATGGCAGAACGCTCCAAAGTCAATTTTCAGATGATGATATGAATAAAAGATTAATCTAAGAAACCAAGGGAAGATGGCCTTGATCAAGAAGGCCTGCAGGAGGTTGAATCTGTAATGGTTTAAATGAGGGTCTATACACGGAGGAAGTGGTTAGTGTAGTGCACTGGAGGAAAACGAAGTATCCCAGAGTTTATGATGAAGAGTGGCCTCTGGATGCTTTGGGAACAAGCAATTTCTCGTCATCAAACATGAAAAGCCTCTATAAGCAAGGTCAGTGATCCAGCTAGCAACCGCTTCAATGAAGAATGCAGCCATAGTATTTCTGAGTTCATTTCTTAGCTAAAACAGAATGGGGATTTTCCTTTTCTGTGTTGGTTTTCCTGTTTCTTTTTTGGGCCTAGTGCCCCTTTGTTTCAAGAAAAAAATTAAAAATAATATAATGAAGGGATTCTGGATTAGAATACGGCCTAAATTCCCATTTCTAGGTAAAATGTTCTCAGGACTTAAAATTTCAGTGAGCATGGCATGATAAACATAAAAAGAAATTCCATCTCACAAGATACATTATTTTAACAGTTAGAATCATTGTACCTTCAGATTCCCGCGCTGATCCTCTATCCTTTTAAAGGGCTGCCAGCTCGGATCTCTTAGATCTACCTCCCACTGCGAACACAACTGTAGTGCTAACACCTCATCATCTGGACCTTTTCCCTTAGCTGCAGTTAAAAATGGCCTATGATCCAGCTCTCCCATTTTTTTCACAGTAATATTACTACTACCAGGTCGAGTGCCCAAATGTTCTAACCCCTGTGAGCAAATGAAGCTAGACTACTTCAACGAAATTTCAACAGAAAAGAACATCGCAACAACAAAAAAGAGCAGTCAATGAAAGAGAATTTTAAGGCATCTTTTCCAAACCAAAAGGAAAACTACTCAAGAGAAGAAAAATAACAAAACAAAATCCGCATCACAGTAAAACCGACACATAAACACAAAAGAGACAAGGATAACCCTTGTTAGTACCCTACCCTAGATGCCATGTTTCATTACAGATGAAATGATTTTCATCAAACCAAGTTGCAAGTTGCAAACTCAAAAATGTACTGTTCTGAGATTGTCCAAATATTCCACACAAATTTAGTCCTTTGTTTGTTAGGCAAAAAATTAGCTAAAACAGAATATACATGATGAGTATCGAACAGTTTGGCGGAAGTAGAAGGCCTTTGAATGTAGTAACGCCAGCTACGCCATTTACACTTCCTTGTGTAAGAAAAATTATACATACATTTATTAACTCCTTGCGAGCATCCTGCAATTCGTCATTGGTCTTACGCTCCTTGACTATAAGGGTTTGTTGCAGTTCTTCCACTGCTTCCAACTCCTCCTCTTTATCCTTCAGATCCTCCTTAATTTTATCCATTTCTTTCTTCACCTTAATATCCTCATCCTCACCCATGTGATTCATTTCTTGCAGAACATCCAGCGCTCCTCTCATTTGCTGGATGTTTAATTCCAACTCTTGTTTGTCATCAAGTTTTCTTTGGAGACCAAGAATTCTTTTATGCAGTTCTTCCTTTTCTTTCTGCAATGCAAGACCATTAAATATGAATTTGATGGATTGGGGGAAACCATAAGCAAAACTCAAAGAGAAAAAAAGTTGAACGCTTCTCTGTAGTAGAACAAACAAAAGAGTGAATCCAATCACATTCAAACGAATGGATGGATACAAGAAAATGGAATGCATGCCTTTTGTTTGTCAGCCAAACGCATCACTCTCTGATCAGCCAACTTTTGCTCCATTGTTGCCCTCTCATTCTGCAGAAGAGAGATGGCAAATGAAGTTCATTGTACCTTGAACTATTAATGTAGGCAGCAAGTGGATCTCAGAGTCAATACAAAACCAGCTTATCCACAAATTTAAATGAGAGAAGTATACCATTTTCTTCTGATGAAGTAGTTTTTGTCTCTCGGTTTCATTTTGTGCTTGACGGAGTCGCAAATCCTTCTCAAGGTTCTCCAACTTTATCCTCTGAGCTTCCAAACGCAGTCTATCTTCCTCATGATCCCTAAGGATCTTCTCAGCATGATCACGGGCCCTCTTCTGCATGTTCGTTATCTCTGAGAAGGTAAAGTAAAATATAAGGCAAACAACTGTCTAAGAATAAATCATAAAAACTCGAAAAATAAGCTTCAAAGTTTCGACATACCATTATTGAAAAATTTAATCAAGTCCTCCTTTTCACCCATCAGTTTACTCAGGGAATCGTTAGTCTCATGGTATTTGCTTTGGACCTCCTTCAATTGCATAGTCTTCTTCTCCAAAGTTTGAGTCAAACCTTGGACAAGCTTGGATTCCTTCCTCTTGTCCTCTGATTGTTTATCAGTAACAGATTTTAGATCCCCATTTCTACGAAGGTAATCACCAATTATACTCTTCGTGTTGTAGTCATCATCACGAGCCACCCATCCATACAATCTATCCCCTCGGTTTCTTGCCTTGATATAATCCGTCTTACCACATTGATCCACTTCAAAGCTCCTCTCAAAATCCATAGCGTTATTGAAACCATCAAATTCTTTGCTAAACTCTACAATAGCAAAACCAGAGTGACCCCGATAATTCCACAATGGATGAACTCTCACTGGATTGAATCCTTTTCTGGAAAATTGTTCTCTCAATTTGGTACCACTTTCAGCAACATGCCGTCCATCTTTCAACTGAGTTTTAATGTTAGCCACAATACCCATCCAAGGCCAGACAAATAGTTGGTCTCTGTCAGGCTTTGGGCAATCAATTTTAGGAACAGGTTTAAGATGTCTTTCAATGTACTTCTCAAGAGCCGAGTGCCTAGCTTTTCCTTTTGAACTCGAGCTCTTCGATTCGCGGCAAACCCTCGACGCATGTTGCAAAAGCTCCTTCAGGTGGTAACCTTTCTTACCGCTCGAATGGCAGAAGGGGCATGTATATTTTGAATCGGAGGCTTTGAGTCGAAAATCACCAGCCTTCAATCCTTTATAGTATTTATACTCATAATCCTTCAACTCAGACTTACTCATGTGGTCTGACATGCCGGACGTTTGCAACTGAAATGCATAAAAAAGCCCCAGGCACACCATATTAAAGCAATGGAAGAAAGGACGCGGTAGGAAATCGAGAACAACATCTTTATCTAGTTTAAATATTAGACAAATAGAACCCCATTTTATTAACTACTACGAACGCGAGCTAGAACAATACCTTCATTTTCGGCTTAAAGAGATAAACCAAAGAAATGACCCACTAATACCAGTGCACACTTCAACCCATGAATGCCAGGCAAAGCTTTTATGCTAAGAAAAGCCCCAAGAATGGGAAAGGCAAGCTCAGTGAAGAAACAGAAAAGCTGAACATAATATACCTAGCGGTGTGAAACTGTGAGCCTGGAAAGTCTCCTTGATGGTAAACGGACTTCCGGAGCTGTTCAAAGTAAATGACGTCGATCAGAGAAGGTGTTCATGCTGTAACGAAAGACAAAAGATGCAAGTATAGTAATCGAAAAATTTTCTTTGGAAAAAAAATGGCATTGTAAAATCAAAACCAAAACTCAGGACTCTGCAGAATCAAAAGGATCACCCGAAACGTCTCGACGAGTGGAAGGGGATAACAGAGAAGAAGAGGGAAGAGTGTGGTGTGAAGGACTCGAACAGACAACAGCGAAAACGAAATAGCGTTAGAGAGAGAGTGAGAGAGCTTTGGTGCAAACTTGCGGACGAAGGTACAAACTACAAAGGAGTCGTCTCGCCCTCGTCTGCCCTGTGCGGACACGTTGTAACGTGACGTTCGTCTGATCGGGCCTCCGGTCGTCCCGCCAAGACCTCATGGCTCATGCCCAGTAATGCCCTTTTATTTATCTTTTTAAAATACTCAATTTTGTGACCGTAATGGACATCTCCAAAATATTTATTTATTTTTCCAGTTTGTTTAATTTTTTGATCTGTAAGTTAAAAGAAAAGAAGGAGGGGGGAGGGGCAGGTTAAGGAGAGCAGTAAGTAGTGGTGTGTGAGAGAGCCTGAGACGCATGTCCTTTAATTTTTGGTTGGTTGCGCGGGAGGTATGCCCTTCGCGCTTTTTGCTTCTTTAGGCAGTTTTCTAGTTTCTCCATCTTTGCCCCTGTCGCTTTTCACCGGTGAGAGACAATTGCATCACGCCGGGAAGGGGGGGGGGGGGAAGGAGGGATAGCTGCATTTTGGGAAAGGATCTGCAACCAAAACAAATGCAATAAATTCATGACGTCATAAATAATGTTCATTGTGTCCATGAAAATATTATAAAATTAAAATTTTATCCGTTTATAAATTTAAGAATTAGAAAATAAATCATTGGCCATTGCCCTGACCTTAAGCCCAATATTAAAAGGGCTGGGATTGAGCCCAACCCATGATCACCCGTCCTTCAGTGACGCTGACCTAAAAAAAGGTCAGTTACAGCTAGTTATAATTATAAGTTGACTTATTTTTTAAGATTAAATTATTTTCCACGTTCAATGGCACATAACACTTACCCTGGAGTTAAAAAGAATGTCATGATAATGGATAAGATGCACAAAATATGTTAACAGGCTTTCACAACTTTCCAAATTACCCATTTATTGTCTTACATGTTTTTAAAATCATACCAGTGTGTGATAGCAACCAAAAAAAAAAAAAACACACACACACACACACACTTGCATATCTTCAACCTGCTTTAGAGTTTAAAAATGACACCTCAAATACTTTCAGAATAAATTCTTGTTGACTGAAATAATGTTCCTCAAGTATGAAACTTTTCTTGCTTCGTGAAAAGCTAAAATCTAATTAGGTTTCTCTGTATACGTAAGACATGAGGATTTGGCAATGTTAATAATAATTTATGAATAGTCACAAGACTTGTAGATCTTATGTTGAAATATCGATGAGTGGCCAGAATTAAATAATAATAAGAATTTAAAAAATGAACAGTGCTCCATCACAGATATATAAGCACTAAGACTTGAAACTACTACCTTTGGTCCTAATTATAAGAGCTAGTTGACTAATTTAAGGAATTAAAAAAACAAATTAAGTTAATTATTTGTAATAAACAAGTGTTGTCTTTCCTAAAATATCCTTGCTAATCAATTTATTGGTTAGAACTATTATTATTAGAGGGACTACATTAGAAAAAAATTCATAAATATAAGAGATAAAATGGATTGGAGTCTTGTAATTAGGACCAAAATAAAAATCAAACGAGGTCTTATATTAATGACCGGAGATAGTGTCACGTAACCTTGCTTGAAGCTTGCTTAAGATCACCTACATAGGACGAGCGTGAATAGAAGAGTATTCTGAAAGCTTAAGAACATTAATTGAAAGCATTTAACTCATTTAGAAACAGCCAGTATTCACAACAACAGAATAAGGTAATGAAGATAGGGATGAATTCATGTAGCCATTGGACCGTGCGCCCTTGTTTATCACTTCATCTCTTCATCACATGGGTGGGGAAAGTTCTGGTTTATTCCGAAGCAGATAGACCAACTGTTATCAAAACAATCACAGAAAAGCTATCGCCAAATGTTCCGATATGCTAGCAACCATCTCTAACGCCCCCGCTACTATGAGTCCGGTGTTTGGTGTCTAAGATAATCTGCGTGTACGTGGGATATATATATCGGGGGATTTGGTGTTTAAAGATTGTACTAGAATGGTTATACGGCAAGCCGATCACACTGTAGATGTCTCTATTATTAGCCATCCTCTTCGGGATGGTTGATTATGTAGCAGGAACAGCTCAGACAGATGCCAAACATAAATGTAGAGCTTATCAGTGGAACTGATTTAAGAACAAAGTCATGAATGAGCCAAGAGTGACAGCAAAAGCCTAGTGGCGTCGGTTGGATGGGAATGATAATATTGGACATTGGACCCCCAATCTTGACTCGCGATATTCGGCTACTTGTCCAATCCCAGGCGGGACCGCTTGCCTTTAAACTTACCTCCCTCTCCAATCCAGTCCCCACCAATGCTCCCTATCACTTTCATTACTCGTTCTGGGAATTTTGCTTCCTTCAATTATTTATTTCATGTCTGCAGTTAACTTAAGACCATTTCGTCTCTTGTAGTTTTAAGAATATCAGAATTAACATTTCATGTTTCCAAAAAACAAAAACAAAAAAATCTGACCGCGTCTTATACCCCGGTCCTCAAGGGAACAAAAGGGTAGAAACAGGCCACATCTCTAAGTCTTTTCACAAAAACAAAATACGAAACTTCCACAGCTATTTCTATGAGCCACAAGCACCTGACAAAACCGAGAATACATATACCGCCGGAAACTATGATATTACCCCGGAAATCCTCCAGATATGCTTTTGAACTTTTTAAGTGTATTAACTGAAATAGGATACTAGTATTAGACATGTACAATCTGGATAACTACGGGCATATATGACATTCTCACCCAAGTCATGCGTGACACGGCGAGACATTTAGCCTTACGTAGTTTCAAGCATAGAGAGGGGAAGCGGATGGGCGGGGGTAAGGTGTGGTGGTCCTCCCATTCTTAGCGTCACCTTCACTTTTTCTGCCACTGGATCTCTTCACAGACGGCTCTTGTGTGCCTCCATTTACAATGGGAACTTGAAGCTGCTCCAATGTAGAAACAACCTCTTCCATGCTTGGCCTGAACTTGGATTCGATTGAAATGCATCGCAATGCCAACGTCGCTGTCTTGTAGGCCTCGTCTATTGTGTACTGACCCTCGAGACGAGTATCCAGCACGAGAAAAAGCTTACGTTTGTTCGCCAGGTATGGCTTAGCCCACTCCACCAAGTTGCGCTGTCCTGATGGTCGACTCTTGTCCATTGCTCGCCGACCTGATAGCATTTCAACCAGTACCACCCCAAAACTATATACATCACTCTTTGCAGTCAGGTGACCTGCCATAGGAATAAGCCATTACCAAGTGGTACAAGCAAAAATTAACATAACTTGATTATTAGCATGACCAAACAATACCGGTGGCTATATACTCGGGAGCTGCATATCCATAGGTTCCTAATACTCTGGTAGAGACATGACTTTTGTCCCCCCCGGGTCCATCCTTGGCCAACCCAAAATCAGAAAGTTTTGGATTGTAATTCTGTGACAAATTAACAAAGGTTTTGTTTTCATATATGCTATTAATATTCTTCTTTAAGAGAGAGAGGGATCCAAATGCCACATACTGAATCAAGCAAGATGTTTGAGGTCTTGAAGTCCCTATATATCACTTTTGTTTCAGCACTGTGAAGAAATGCAAGCCCTCTGGCAGCACCAAGAGCCACCTTCAAACGGAGGCTCCAAGAGAGGGGTTGGAAATAAGAGCCCCCTGTCACGACAATATTTTGAAAGTTAAACACGATTCTCTAGTTAAACCAATGGAAAAGGTGGCAAGGCGTGAATAACTCACTCCTGAACAAATGATTCTCCAGGCTGCCTCGAGGCATAAATTCATACACCAGAAGGCGGTGGTCGTCTTCAAGGCAATACCCGATCAACTTTACAAGATGGGGATGAGAAAATTGTCCAAGAAAATTCACTTCAGCCTAAAAGAGAAAAGGAAAAACAGGGCAAACCAACTCCTGAGAGTTTAGCTTACAAGAGGAACAAAATTAATTAAGGCGACTTAAGTCTTGAATTATTAATTGTCTTGCCTGTAAAGTGAAAGCAACACTAACACACACAAATGCATGTGACAAAACCGCCAAACAGAGGCAAAGACTGCACTTACCAGCCACTCATTGTGACCTTGCATACTATCTTGCTTAAGTCTTTTCACAGCGATAATAATGCCAGTTCCCGGCTTGGCAGCTGTAAGGGACTGCTCATCAATCCACCCTTTGAAAACTGATCCAAAACCACCTTCTCCTAAAACACTATCTGGTCGGAAATTTCGTGTAGCCGCCTTCAGCTCTGCATAAGTAAAGCTCTTCAAATCGGGCGACTGCAAGATCTCACCCACACTCCGGCGAGTATGAGTTGTCGAGGCCTTTGAGACCTCACTGCCCGTGCTGCTCAGATCACTTCCATCAGTGCTCACGTGTTTTGAATTCGGCCCTACAAAAATTAACAACATCAACACAATCAAACACACCCATTTCACAGAATTCCATTTATTTTCCCCATATCCATGGACGAGATAAGTTTGCATCAAACGAAGGTAAAGTGACTGCTTGAAGATGAAAAGTTGATATGTCAGAGCTACTCAAGGAATTCAATTTCATCTAATGAGCAGAAACAGGGATGGGTTTACAAATTAGAGGCATTACAGGGCAAAAGAGAGACTACAGCCAGGCAAAGCGAAAGAGAGAGGAGAGAGAAATATAAATCTGAGAAGGCGACCACAAAACGAACCGATCAACATACATACAAATACAAGAGAAAGAGTCAAGAAGTCAATAGCATGGACACCCTACACTAGGGGTGCAACAAAGA